TGAAATAAATAACAAATGTCAGCTATGTGAGACTCCCAGCGGGCTCGTGGCAAAACTGGGATTGACCCCAACTTGAAATTCTTTCCTTCAACAAATATATATTTTATATGTACTTATTTATATACATGTATTTATATTTAACTTATATTAATAGAATATAATTAATTATACATTATATTATTTATATCACATTATATTATAATGTTTAATGTATCATGTTTGAGACATTGTGCTATGTCCTAGGGACACAAAATGAACAAAATGATATGGTTGTCACTCCACAAGCCTTACTGACTAATGCTAAAGCCAGACATTGGGCAATAATCACAAAAATAAGTATGTAATTATAAATTAATTATAAATTATGACCTGCTCTAAGAAGAATATGTAAAGACAGCATTGCCCCATGGTAATAGGAAGATCTGAATTCAGTTTGGGGAATGCTTTTCTGGGAAGTGACAATTAAGCTAAGAACACTTATGAGGAACCAGAGGAAATGAATTAATTAGTTTAAAAAATAAAAAAGCAATGCAGTTCAGCTTTCCCACAAACTGCCCTTAGAGTCCTCCCAGGCGGTTCTCTGAATATGAACCTTCAATGATAAATAAACTGGATGAGCAATCAAAAAGAGGAATCATGTGAGGAAAGCAGAGATTTACATTTATAATTTTTAAAAAGACTTCACGATCAATGTAAAATAACAAAGCAAAACAAAATGCCTGTCAGTTATAAAAGGGACAGAGGAACTCAAGCCAGGGATCAAGGGACCACTTAACACTCATCAGGGTAATTAGATTAACTTAATTTATTCAATTATGTATTCATTATGGCAATCTTGATTAAGCATCTAGTAGGAACCAGACAGTGAGGCTCGGTAGCAAACAGGATGTGTAACACTTGAGCTCACCTACCTACTACTTGTAAAGAAGGACAAGCATGTGGCTCAATAAAGTGAATGTGTCAAGTGCTCTGATGTCTTATTGCAGAGGGACTTAAACTAGCCAGGGGTGATCAAGAAGGCTTTCTGGTGGAAATAAAGGAAATTAGGAGAAATCTAGATGCCCAGAGGATCTAGACACTACTTATAGACCTGGAACTCATAGATAATCTATCTGTGCTAAATGAATAAGTATTAAGTACTAATCCATACAGCATAATAATATTTGGGAAAATTAGTCTATGCTTCTGGCATTTTCTTCCTGGGACTCCACCACTCCCCCTTATTAAAGCAGAAGCAAGAGTGTTCACTGCACTGTGTGAAGATTTTTTCAAGCAGAAATACCCAAAGAAGTAAACCGTTCATTTCTCAGCTTATGAGTTTTAAAATAGAAATTTAAATCTTACAGGAGAGAAAATACTTGAGAGAAAGGGGTTTTGAGTATACAAAAAATGACGCTGAGTACCCACAGCCAGAAACTTGAAGGACCAGAGGCATTAATCTTACTAAATGGGAACAATTTTAGAGGGATGCACATGATTACAAGTTTCCCACCCAAGAGTGGGTAAGTGTCTACAGCTCGAAGGTGAGGGAGGACCTCAGAGGAGCCGGTAACTGTCCTTGAGAAACTGTCCTGATGCTACTCCACAGAGCTGAGCACAAGGGGCCAAGGATGGTGTTGGGGGAGCAAGAGACCCTTAACGCATCTGAGGATCTCAGAGCCAAAAATTGTGCCTTGCTTCGCAGGGTCCCAGCCAAGCTCACAACATGCACATGATGAATTGCAGTCAAAGGACAGGGAAGTAGCTGGAATTGCTGATGAACTTGAAGAGGGCTTCCAGTTGGAACAAAAAGGATGTAAAGTGACCCATGACAACTGATGATTGAGACCAGAAAGAAACTTAAATATCTCAGCAATACCAGAGGCAATAACTGACAACAATTAGACCAGGAGCCCCCACCCCTGACACCATGGAATTATAAAAGCCTCCCTAGAATTTATATATAGCCCTGGGAAGACAAGGAACACCCCCCAGTTCAACTGAATTTATCTTGATTGTTTAATATTAAGTTTGTTTTACAAAGTCATATGCAGGCAAATGAAAATGAGATGATACAGAGTCATAGAAATATAAAGAGAGTTTTTGTTTGCTTGTTTGTTTTTATTTCTGGGGCTTTTTTTGCATACCTCTATTGGCAATCTGTCAAGTTTCAGCCTGGTACAAAAGTCTAGCAAAACCATCATTCTTAAAAAATTAATTCAAGAGAAACTACAAAGCAGAGAGATATTTGTAGGTGGGATGTCAATTTTCAGGTGGATAAGACCAGACTGGCAAAATGCAGGCCCACATAATAACCCAGCCGGAAATCATTAGAGTACGCAGAAAAGTAAATGATTTTGATCCCAGAATCCAAGAAGGTGGACTTTAAGTAATAAGCTTTTAGACAAGGCTCTTCTAAAAGATCAGAAGCACCAAGTGAATAAGCAAACCACCAATCCTGAGAGGTAGTTGAATGGAGAAAAATCTTCCTAAGACTATGAAAAGGTCCAGTGTGAGGTTGTTTTTACTTATTTTTACTCAGTAGAAAAAAAAATCAAGAAATTAAATGGTAATTGAAAACATTTTAAATTTAGCAGAGAAGATACCAAAATAGGAAAGTTGTGTTTATCAATGTGCGTTGAATTTTGATTTGTTTTTTGCGTAAGTGTTAATAATTAGAAGCATTTTATATTCAGGTTATTTTAATATAAGTTTTATATATACCAAAGAGGTACAGATATATTGTATAATATATAACATATATTATGCCATATAGACATTATATATAATATAATGTCATTTAGTATATGTCAGAAGAAGATATGTAAAAAATAAAATCATACATATGGATGCCTATGCTTTTCATTTAACATCTCTTTGGGCTGGGTGAGCCTGGTTATTTGATCTATACTGGTCCAGTCCAGGTCAAGAAGACTGATAAGCACAAACCAAATTAAATGGTGTGTGCCAAGTTTCACCTTGCACGCATAATGAGCTTCAGAATCACTCACTAAACAAATTGCCCACCATCCAGAATACACAAAGAACCAGATGCTAGGGTATTTATAAAAGCTAGCTGTGGGTTGAGTTAGGCAATTCAACTAAAAGGAGAGCATATGATGAATAACACACTCAGAGAAACTGGAGAAGGACCTCACAGGAATGAGGATCTGGACTCGCTAATCAAGACCATCAAAATGTCTTGAGGCCAACACCATTGGAGGGTAGCAAGAAGAGAGAGGAAGTCATATGACATCTCAGCAGCTTTCTGGTATGCCAAACTGCAGGACCACAAGGTAAACTCGAATTGATCTACCAGTGTGATGGACATCACATCATTTCCTTGAACATACTTCCATAAAGTATTGAGAAGGAAAATTTTTATTATTATTGCATTCACCTTGTTCTTAAAACAGTACTTGGTTCTGAGTAAGGTTTGGATTAAACATAATCCAAATTTAACTTGGATTCATTTATTTGGATTAATATTTTTTTTAAAAGTCACTTTTAAGAGCTAAAAGGAGAGCTGGAAATGAACTTAAATCATGACCTTGAATTTTATGGAAATATTTTTTTCTATTTTACAGCCAGTGATAAGATAAAAAGCATATTATGATTCCTGATCTTGTATTTTTGTCCAGGTAGAACTGCTCTATTATTAGATTATGAGTATAGATTTAGAGTAATGAAAACTTCCTTGGATCTTTCTTTTACTCAGCATATGGAGTTTAGGAAGTAAAGGTCAACTGGAACCATTAAGACTCTCTAGCTCACACTGTACAATCAAGAGATCCTTGTACCATCTCAGAACATCTGTAATGTGAAAAGAGGAATATTACCAGAACAAAGGCCCTGACTTACTACAAGTGAGCACAGGTCTGAAGGGAAATGTTACTATAGGTCTGAGACAAGTGGTCTCCAAATTAGGCTGTGAGGACACGTGAAGTTGGGATATCAATAATATGATTGATTGATACCAGAAGGAATGGTTAGAGCTTCAATCCACATTTATTTTTTTATCTTTAAAAGTAAAATAGAAATTAGGGCATAATAATGTTAATATACAGTTTGATGGTATTAGCTGCATGTCATTTATATTGAGGTATGTGCTGGAAAATATTTTGTTCAATATAAGGGTAAGACAGGACAAAAGTGGGAAGACCATTGCCTTATACTTTCCCAGAATTCCTAAAAGTTACAGGAGAATGAAGGAACTACAGTTTCCTTAACACCTTCTATGCACCAAATGACAGAATAACATGTTTTATCTCATCAAATCTCCAGCACAATCCAAGGAGATATTACCATTCCTGTTGCACAAGTGAGAAAATAGAGATTCAAAGAAGTTCAGTATCTAGCTCTGGATCACAAACTTGGCAAGTGTTGGTGATGGAATAAGAACCCTAGTCTATTCTCAAATTGTGTGTTTCTTTCCTCACATTACAGTATCTAAGGAGCCATCAGCTCTGAAACTAGCATTTACCAAGGGACTTGACCCTGCAGAAACTGCTCTTGTATTAAGATAAATTTCCTATAGGATAGTAGATGCGGTAAGCTCTTACTCTGTAAATAATGTGAGGTGGCAGAATGTCCCTAATCATGCCCACCAAAGTCGATACAAAACAGTATAAATACTGTGAGGCATTTTATGATGCATAAAAGTTATTATTATTATGACTTAAATAATTTTTGAGAACCAAGAATATCTTATTCAATAGAGAGAATAAGCTCCAAGTAGAGCCACGGTACAAATTTAGTAAATATTAGAAGTGTGTGTGTGGGGGGGGGGGGGGGGGTGTGGGTGTGTGTGGGTGTGTGGGTGTGTGTGTAAATGAGAGAGACAGAGACAGAAACAGGGAAAAGAAATACTACAAAGGTTTAGATAAATAATAGCACATTTCAAAAGTACATAAAGAATAGAGATTCTAAAATTCTCCCAGACCCCAACATTCCCTGTCCTCTTTGCCCTATGACATTTTAATTGATTAGAAAACCCCTCTGTAAATTATTACTATAGTTACCTTGGTCAGTTTCATTTCCAGCACATGGCTGCTATGTATCCGACTGTCGAAATGAGCTACTTCTTTAGAGGAGGACTTAACCTTGGCAATGATCTTCACATAGGAGAACACGATCACAGCCGTTGGGAGTAAGAGGCAGAAGAAGAGGATGTTCAGGATGAAAATCTGGCCACCCATGGAGGCCTGGGCCAGCCACCAGTCCAGCGTGCACGAGGTTCCGAAGGGCTCAGGAGCGTAGTCCCCCAGACCTACCAAGGGCATGGTGGTCCAGAAGGAAGCATAAGCCCAGATGACTGCCAGGCAGATGTAGGCGTGCTTTCTTTTCAGCCAAACCCCTGGAGGTAGAAGAAAAGCATTACCAGGATGTAATCTGCCCTACACCCAAATACCTCCCCTCGATATGTCAAATTCCACATCCAAAGAGTTATTCCATTGGATTCTGGGAGAAGTGGTCAGATAACTGAATTCTGAGGGAGAGTGGAGTGAAGGGAGAAAAGTTCCAGAGCGTGGGCCTTTTTCCAAGCGAATAAAATCAGAAGTGCTTTCACAGGGAAGGTTTCCATAGGCACGCAGGAGCCTCAGGAGGGGTAAGTGATAAAAGCTGAGGAAAGGGGACAGTAGGAAGATGAGAGGATGCCAAAGACAATGAAGGAAGGATCTTAAGAAAGCATCCAGAATGACCTTTGAGATCCTATCCAATACGGGGCCAGCTGGTAGAAGAGAAGGACCAAGCCCCCAAAAGCATGTATTACTGGTTCATCCAAGGTAGACTCCTTTGGGGAAAGTGAGAATACATTGCTAGTGCCTTTCAATACCCTTCTCCATAAAAGCTTTCACGTCTCTTATCTCATTCATTCATCTTCCTAAGCGCTCATCAGTGGGGGTCGGTGGGCCACAACCATGACTGCGTGCTGAGACGGTAAAGTAGCTGACCCTGCTTCATGGGAGCAGGTTTTGAATCTTCAAACGTGACAAACCCAGCAGTCATGCTCACACAGCCAGAGCAAGAAGGGTAGAGAATCTAGGTAAGTTGCATCATGTTCTGCAAAAGTAATTCTGTGAAAACACTTTCAGGAAAACAAAAAATGAGCTCTAGGTTTTTCAGAACTAGTTTCCATTGACCAAAAGAGATCTCCAAGAAGAACTGGTGTAGTCATCTAAGAAAAGCCATAGAGCACTAGTGATCCCTTTCCGCAGTTCACCATAACCACCAAAGACAGGGCAGCCTGATCTAGTGCTGCAGCCTCCTCGTGAAATTACCTCCACACACCACTCATCACCTCAAAGAGAAAGGGCCAGAGAAGTAAATCCTTACTGCCTTGGTTTTGGAGTAGCAGAGAAGAAATAGCAGAACACAGTCAACAAAAGCCAAATGATCTCTTCAACACAGACTCAAGGCCTGCTTCTGCTCAGAGCCGTATGCAGTTTGGGAAGTCAGTAGGGCCTAATTCTTCTTGTTCTAGTGTTTGACCCTCTTCGTGTGCCCTTTCCAGATGCCCATGTTCTTAGCAGTAAAATGGAGGAAATAAGAATACATTGCTTACAGGTTTTGATAAGGGTTCGATGAAATAATGCAAGGCCTGATTTGCAAACTACAAAGGACTACTACATTAACACAAATTTTTACTCCTGTGTTTGTCTCAGTGCTAACAAGAAATGTAGATTGCATCTATACTCTGTTGTCTCTTTTTTTCTTCAAATACATGGCATTTTGTATCATAAAATTCAAATTTCTCAAGCCCAACCAGAGTGAGGTAACAATCATGTAGCCACAATATATGTCAGCTCCTGATTATCCATTATAATGGATAAAACATTGGCACGGATAATCACATATATTTAGGGGAATGTGCATACGCATACGTATAAGCATTTATGGTTAGGGTTACTTGGCGAGGTGTTGTATACTTACATTCGAGTATGGTGAAAGGCTGTCAAGTACAGGAGGGAGTAGATTAGTAGATTGGTTCTGTGTTGCTCCAGAAGTCAGAACTAGGACCAATGGGTGGAGGTTACTGGGAGGCAGTTTTGTCTCAATATAAGGAATAACATTGTAACAATGAGAGCAGACCAATCAGAGAATGGGCTGCCTTGTGCAGTAGTAAGCTCCCCGTCACTGGTCACTGGAATTATTCAAGAAGAGGCCAAGTGGCTGTCTGTCAGGGATGCCTTAAAACAGTTTATCACATTAATGGGAGAAAGGTCTCCATGTTCCCAAGCGGTCTTCTAATTCCAACATTTTAAGACATTGTGTAGAGGGTTTAATCATGAGTCAAATCAAATGGTGAAACCATTCTATTGAGGTTCAATCTTAAAAGAAGCTGGAAAAATATATACAGTTCCCATATGGAGTGATGCCCTGCAGTGATGCTGGGGGTGGGCAGTATCATCTCTTTAATGGATACCAAGCCTAAATTCAAGGAAATATTTAAAAAGCAGAGAAATCAAGGTATTCCTCATATATCCCCAGGAAGTTGAAATTCTGCCTTCTCATCTATAAAATCTGTAAGTATACTTATACTCTGCTTGATACAACCAAAACTAAGTTTCTAGAAAGTATAGGACTCTGAAGTCATCCAGAATATACATAATTGAATATTTTTATGTTATTGGAAATTCTGATTTAAGTTATTTCTATTGGAAGGGTTAAGCTGTTTAGAAAAAGAGATGCAAATTTAAAAAAAAAATGATTGCTAGTTCGTGAAGATGATGGTCCATGACCTTACCCTCCCCTGCATGGTCCCCTTGGAGTCTGGGACTATAAACTTTTAAAATATAAAGGAAAAGGGGCACCTGGGTGGCTCAGTCAACCGGTTAAGCATTGGCCTTCGGCTCAGGTCATGATCCCAGGGTCCTGGGATCGAGCCCCGAGTTTGGCTTCCTGCTCAATGGAGGGTCTGCTTCTCTCTCTCCCTCTTTCCCTCCCCCTGCTCCTACTCTGTCTCTCGCTCTCTCTCTCAAATAAATAAATGGAATCTTTTTAAAAAAAATGCTTTAAAATGTAAAGGAAAATTCTACCACATTGAGAGTATCAAGTCAACTTGATCCTTCCCACCTCAGGCTCCAGACCATCCTCCGTCTCCATGGTCACAACTGTTCTGATTGACAGATTAATAAACAGAGCAGCTTTTTCCAGAGGAAGCCAATACTATTCCCTGGTTGCACCTGGTTCTCAGTATTAAACGGAAGGGCCCAAATGCTTCTCTTTGGGATTCAATCAGTTCCCAGAACCCCAAGAAGCAAAAGTAATAAAAATTTATTTTTAACATGTTGAATGGTCTCATTATTAAAAAAAAAAAATCTTGAGCCTCTGAAAACTTTTTCATAGCTGGCTCTACCCTCATCAATGCTTCTAGTCACTCATCTTCCTACCTACAATACCACAAAAAGAGTGTTGAGTGATATTTCTGCGTGTGTCCTTTCTTGCCACACAGCTGCACAGCTTTCTAACTTGGATCTGGACTTTTTGGAATTCCCCATCTCTGAAATCACAGGGACCCTGAGGCCTAAAGGAGGATCAGAAACATCTTATAATTACACTTACCATGAGGGGAACCAGCTAAAATATCTCGGACCTAACATCCTTTCAATGCATTTTATTTCTTTGTTTGCATGGCAAAACACGGTAGAAGCTTACACAGATTATACAAGGAAATGATGTTTGCCAAAAGCACTGTAGCCAAACACCAGACATTCCTATAAAAGTGGTATTAAAAGAAATCTACATTGACACAGGTTCAAATCTTTAAACTTATGTTAGAACAAGATAGGCTCTAAATAGAGATACTCTTAGTCTCTTAGGTTATTAGTAATCTTTGTTCATTACCTATCGGTACAATATTTACAGTCTGACAATCCACTAGTTTTGACTATCAGGGAATGAGAAGCCTTCATACTTACCATACGATAAATAGCAGATTTTCAGATATCGATCCAGGCTGACAGCAGTCATGGTGATGAGACTTCCACAGCCAAAGAAAAATCCAGCCCATCCATACCAGCGGCAGCCAATCCAGCCAAACACCCAGCGGTGACAGAAGCAAGAGATGATCGTGAACGGTTTGCCTACAACTAGAGCGCCAAGCAATTTGTCAAGGGAAATGCCCTCCAGTTAAAGTTATCCACCTGCCTCAACTCACTCTTGAGTTATATTCTATTCAGACAAGAGATAGCTATTTTAGTTAATGTTAGGTTCAGTCTGTTTGCAACCAGACCCCGACTTCCGGGATTTAAACTATTCCTCAAAACAATAAAATAAGACAAAATCAGAAAGGGAGACAAACCACAGAGGCTCTTAATCATAGGAAACAAACTAAGGGTTGCTGTAGGGAAGGGAGGTGGGGGGATGTAGTAATGGGGTGATGGACATTAAGGAAGGCATGTGATATGATGAGCACTGGGTGTTACAAAAGACTGATGAATCACTGGCCTCTACCTCTGAAACCAATAATACATTATATGTCAATTAATTGAATTTAAATTTAAAAATATTAAATTGCAAAAAAATAAAAATAAGTAATAAATGATAAAAAATAAACTATTCCTCAGCCTCTGTTAGTGTTTTTGTGTTTTTTACTTTCTAGAAAGCATTGTTCTACTGTAATTTACACCTTGCACCCTTTGTAATCAGCTATTGTATTCAATCTTTGTCTTCTCGGAAGGGAACGTGCTGAAGAAGCTCTCCACGACCTATATGTGATCTCTCATCTATCTATCTATCTATCTATCTATCTATCTATCTATCCATCTATCTATCTATCATAAGGTTCCCTAAACTTATCACATTAGGAAAACCGAGTAACTGATACTCACAGGTGCCAGCCCTGCCCCCAGGTGTGTCCCTTCTTCAGTAGACAGAGGTACACCCAAGTTCCTGTTAGTGTAGTCAGTTAACACATATTTCTTAAATGCCATCTGTAAGTCAGACACACATCTCCTCTAGTTTGTCTGGTTGTCTAGGTAGCTAATTTCACACTCCATCTTGCTGGACTGTGCACCCCCCCATTAGGGCTTCCTAATCCCAGTGGTCTAGCCTGTCTGTCAGTGAGGAAACTGAGTGTAAAAGAACTGTTTCTTATTCATTATCTAATTACTCAGTGCCTCTTAGGTAACAATCACAGAGCAAGGTGATAGGGGACAAAGTGAAGGTCAAGACTGACAAATGTATTTAATAGTAGGGAGGGCAGATAAGAGAAATACACAATTTGTAATATAAGATCTGCTATGATGGAATGTTAGTCATTAGCGCTGAAAAGAAAAATGAAGCAAAAGGAGATAGATAGAAATTGTTGTTTTATATAAAAGGATCAGGGAAGACCTCTCTGAGGATGTGACATTTAGGGAGATGTCTAAATCACTGGTAGAGATCACAAGTAAATGTCTAGAGGGGAAATATTCTAAGCAGAGGAGACACGAACTCAAAGCTTGAGCTAAGTGTCAGCTGGGTGGGTGCTAAAGGCATCAAGAGACAAGTGAAAGTGACTTGGATGGAGTGAAATTAGTGTCCATTGTGGCTGGGACTATTTTCAGCTTCCTTCTGGAGTGGAGCCTTTGGTAAACCTTTGTAACGTCATCTAGAATGTGTCTCTCTTCTTCACTTAATAGTTCTGAACCTGGCTGCACACTAAAATCACTGGAGGAGCTGTTTTGTCCTGCTTTGTTTTGCTTGGTTTTATTTTACTTTAAATATCAATTTCTAGGACTCTAACCTCCAGAAAGTCTGATTTAATTTATCTGGAGCAAGCTCAGGCATCAATATATTTCAATATACTTTTTTTTGGCTCCCCAGGTGATTCTAATACATATACACAATTGAGAGCCACCGGTATGTAACCACAAATATTAGTTATATAGATGAAATACACCTGGTCTCTACTATACACTTCAAGGTGCTTATAATGGAATATAGTTGACCAAGGAAAAAAATAAAACAAACAAAAATGTTTAAGGTTTATTGGAGTAGAAAATGTATTTGAGATACTCAAAGTTGAAAAATGATCTGGGTTCATCTGCAAAAGCTATCACATGGAAGAAAATGCTTTCTTGCTGAATTACTCTGAAGACACAGGCAGAGTAATGAGGTGGTTTGTGCAATTCTAGAGCAGATTTGTTTGGTGGAAAGCATTTTCAGTGTTATCAGACCACTTAAGGACATTTTTATTCAAGCTTAGCCTAATTCAGCCTTAAATATGAACCTGGTATTATTCGCTGGTGAAGGATGTGGATGAAATGGTAGGTTTTATTCGAGCATTTTACGTTCAGTACCAGGGAGAGAGCCGTCTGGACTCAGGAGAGGAGGCCGGGGAAAGTTATCATTCATGTTGCGACACTGCCATCGTGTGGCTATTACTAAAATTGCAGCCATTGTGCAACCTTGCAAATTGCCTGGGGTTCTTTTCAGCTGTTTTCATCCCAGGAGGCCTGACACAATATGCTTCTCTTAATGTGCATGTGCACTTCTGATAAGAGCTCATGATATTTAAGCCTGTCCATACTGAGTAAAGCCTTCCCAAGTAACAAACACCATGCAGACTCTCAAGGGCAACACATCTGCTAGTGATAAACAGTGACTCTATAGGGAAAGGCTTACTTATTGAGCCTTGTTTTTGGAGATTGGCAGCAGCAGAAAAATCCACTTATGAAGGGAGAAACAAATATCAGAAAACATTTTAAAAAGGACGTTTAGATGGGGAACTGCTAAAAGGTTTCCAGTGGAAAGAGGAGTTGCTGTGTGCTGTCCACACTCAATTTCCCCAGTTCTAGTAACTTAAGACCATACTCCAAACAGCAGAATTTGGGATCCAAAGGTATGTTTGAGTGTAGCTAGGCAATCCTGGGACTTTATAGATGAAAGCAAAGGGAGGCTACTTATCCAAAATCATTTATATTTATAAAACTTAATTACAGTTAAAGAGAAATTTTATTCCAATTCCTCCTTGTCTGGGTTATCAGAGAAGCCAAAGAAGCAAGAAATAATCCAGTGGTTTCCAATTTTGACCTCATATTAACTTACCTGATAATACCAACTTTAAATATCATGATGCCCAGGTAACATTCTCAACCAATTCAATAGAAATTTCTGGGTATAAAACCCAGCGGTGAAGTTTTTTGCTTTTCTGTTGTTGTTTTGTTTTGTGTTTTTTAAGTTTCCCAAGTGGCTTTTTTGTGCATCCAATTCTGAGAACGACTGACCTGGAGGCTTCCTATGCTTGCAATCAGTCCCGAAGCCACACTTCAATGTACCAGCAGGTCAGCTCTCCCGTCTTCCTATACTCACCTCTCAGACTGTCTTTGCCCATCATTTAAGCTTCAAAACCGAGCCCCTTGGTGTTTATTTTAACAGAGTCCCGTATGGGTGGCAGGGGTGTAAAGGAGCTCAACACAGCGATCTGTAAGTTTCTGTCTTCTCAATCATTTAGCCAGTACACTTTGAGGTGTAACATTACAAGGTATCATGCATCATTCCAAATTGTCTCCTTAGCATCTAACGTGCTCAGCACACAGAAAGGACTCAACAAATGTTAAATGGATGAGCTCTTTAGCCTGACGACACTCCTTTGACTTACCACAACCTCTGTAAAGATGATTGGTGAAGGGAGGAGGTAAAGGAAGAGGTGGGGGAGGGGTGATCTCTGAGCCAGTGAGGACTTTAGAATGGGGCACAGCTCAAACCCCCAAAGAAGAAACGGTTGTGTTACCTGAAATGCCCAGATCACAGATTGCTAAATTGATAGTCATTATTTCCGCAGGTCTCAGCTTCTTCTTTCGTCTAGAAGACATATAAAGGACATACCCGTTTCCAAATGTGGACAGAATCCCTACAAGGAAAAATATAAATTCCCATTGTCAGCACTAGGATTTGGAGTTCACTCAGATATGAAACACTTCTCAATTTCAAAAATGGACACCATAGATTTAGAGGGTAGTGAGAGGACTCTAAATAAAAATCTCAATTAAGAAGATGAAGTAAAAAGCATGAGTTGCGAGTGACAGGTGAGGGATGGGTTGCCTCCAAAGGGATAGGAGTCAGGGATTATAAGGCTGAACTTACCCAGAAAAAGGAACTGCTAACTTCCCAGTGAAGTTCAGGAGGGGGTGGGAATCCCCATGGTCAGTTCTTGTACTGGCCCCCAGCATGGAGTATTTCCTCCGCCATTTTTACCGATTATTGGCTCTATAGAACTCCCTCCCTCTAAGAAGTAGGGTTAACCCCTTGGCTCTTGGTAAATTCTGAAGCTGAAGTGACCCCAACCAGACGAGGTGCTTTCACTATCACTGTGGACTGCTGAGGGAGCACCAGCATTCAGGAGAGGCAGAGGCCAGAGTGGGCTGGCATAACCCCCTGCAAGGAAAGGGTCATCTCCAGGAGACACATCCCAGGACTTTTTGCCTCCTGAGGACACATGGACGCTGGGTGTCTGCAGCTACTTCTGGACTAGGTATTAAGGGGAAGTAGGTGACAGTGGATAATATGAGCTCTCCCCTCCCACCAAAGGGAGAGAATGTGACCCTCAACCCACCAACCTGCCAAAAATGGTATAAATGTGTTCCCACTTTTTTATATCCTTTTATTAATGACTAGTTGGCTTTGGCATTACAATGATACTGTTCAAAAGTTCTTACAAACCCAGTTTAAATCCAAAAAGACCCAATCCCTACTGACTTTATTTAAGAAAAGAATACACCTACTTCCATAGCTTAACATGTAGAGTAGATTTCTTCAGGAATTCTTGCTTCATAGTGTAGCTGTGTATAAATGAGAATCTGGTACAGCTGCCTTTAGTAGTAAGGAATAAGGAGAGTATTAACAGGAGAAACCCAGATTTTTCTATTTTAATTTCTACTTCTCCACCACAATTCATTTTGGGGGCAAGGAAAGAAATGTGTGTTTCAGCTGATGGTATGAAACCACCAGGAACGAACTGCATTGTGCTCTTAGGAAATTATGAATCCCTGGAGTCAGAGCTGCCTAATGGTCTGTTAAAACCTCTTTAGCTTTCTTAAGACAGAAGAGGAAAAATAGACGAGATTACGGAGTTCTAGAGCAAACCAACTAAAATGAAACCTACAGCTCATTAAAGGAAACCAGCTATCAAGGCACACTGGGAAATTAATATGCATTGAAAGTAATATGGCTTGAAGAATTTTAAACAAATGCTTTCTACTTTGTATCCAAGAAGATTAAAAACAATAAGCATACATATGCAGTTGATACACAAAGCTCCTTTAAACACCCTTTGTCTTTCTACTTCTCTTTTGAGAATATTGGTTTTCTTATTTTTCCTTTCTTAAATTATCTTTACTAGTGTTTCATAAGGCTTTACCCAGTGCCCAAAGCAGTATCAAAAAATAGTCAACTCTCTATGAGCTGCATGTAGATGATTCCTATAGGCAATCTTATCCATAGGGGATTATCAAGAGAATGCAAACATTTTTGATGATAGTTAAGGAAAACAAGATTAAGAAGCTAAAGGCTAAAGGCAGGGGTGGGGGTGGGGAGGGACATTTTTTGATTATCAAATCCTGAATCTTTCTAGGAATACAAAATGATGAAATCTCAAATATAGACTGTTAATAAACCAAGTATCTATAATAAAAGAGTTGAAGGGTGGAAATGGGTCTCTAATTTATTTCTCCTCTATTCCAAATTCAGATTTATCTTTTCATCTTCCAGTTTTCCCTAAGACTTCCAGGATTTAACAAAACTCACTGAGAACATCATTTCACTCTGGTTCCTTAAAAAGATATCTGAGCATATGCCCATACCTATCCTAGGAGGGGTAAAAACCAGACATAGCACCAAGTCCAAGACTGGGTCTAGATGAGTCCAAATCCCTCCAAATGACCCTGGCCTCATCCTGAATGACTGTTCTGGAACATGTCTTTGGCTCCACCCCTAGCTCCCTGAGTCACCTGATGTTCCCTTTGTTTGGGGACTCCTTTTGGACCTATTTTTCTAGCTTCACCTCAGCATGCCCATTTGAGTCTGCCTGTGTATTTTCCTTCCATCCCCCCATACAACAAGGGAGAAATTTTCCTGATTCCCCCACCCACCCAGCCTCATTGCCTCTCTTCCTGAGATCTTCCATACCAGGGTGGGAAATGGACTGTGATCCCTCTCCCTCTTTTGTTTATCTGGAGTGCTATTTTTTAACTCAATTCTTGCAATTGGTTGAGACAAATTCAATTTTTAAGATGTCAATTTCTCCGCCTTTTCTGATAATTGAAAGGACTTATGTTAAATGAAAATGTATTGTGGGTTTTACTACCAGGTAGTCCCTGTGCAGAAAGAGACTTTGCCCATTTCGTTCACTGTTGTATTCCCAGAAACTTAAACAGTGGCATGGAAGGAGCACTCAATATATACTTGTGTTTGGAAGGACATGAGGGTCCATTTATAGAAATAGAATTTAAATGAGTGTGGTAATTGCTAATCATAAAGCCAAGGACCCAGGGAATCCCTTTGCAGTGGAATTTCTGATTCAATCTCACCAATTCCTTTTGCCTCAAGCACTGACCATAGAGGTGTCGCCAGACTTTTCTAATGATTTTTGCTAATTTCAGGAGGTTAAACGAAATTCTTAGCCCATAATAAATAGATGAGAGAGAGGGAAGGAGGGAGAGAGAAAAGGAGAAAGAAAGAGAGGGAGAGAGGGAGAGAGAGAAAGCTTGACCCAAATCTGAAAAGATTAAAGGCAGACACACCTAAAGACATAACCCACCTGTGCACTGGTGACCCAAATTTAAAACAACAGTTTTAAATTTAAGAAGTTTTGTGGTCGAATTCTAATTGCCTAGACTAATGCTGTCCAATAGAAATACAATGTAAACCAGAAATGTGAGCCATATGTATTTCAGTTTTTTTCTGGTAGCCACATTAAACAAAGTATCTAACCTTGTATAGGCAAAATGTTATGGGTTTGACGTGTAGTCAAATTGTTTTAATTAGTCATGAACTGTTTGACATCATTTTCGCTAGTGCTAAGTCTTCAGTGTCTCGCGTATATTCACACTACAGCACATCTTTTGGACAAGTCACTGTTCAAGTGCTCAGCAGCCACACGTGGGCCACGGCATTGGATAGCATAGTCTGGAAGCAGGTGCACCATGTTTTGGATGATGCACAAACTTTTTGACCCTGGGCTGACTCCCATTTTATTACCAATACATTTTTTCAACTCTCACCAAACTCACTTAGTGATGCCATCATAGAGCAACTCTACTTTAGGTGCAGCAAACTTAGTGTGTCCATTGTGACCACAGCCCGGGGACTGTTTCCTCATTTGTGACAAGAGGAGGCTGAACTAGGTGATTTCTAAGGTCCGTTCTGAGCCTATCATCTTATGATTATATCAAAAGCATTTTTTTAAGTAAAAGCACTCTATTTAAATAAGATATCATTATCATTAATTTTGTTATTCAGAAGACAAACCTAGTCCTAAAGCAACCAAAATAGTCTCAAGATAGATGATTTCGTTGTAAAACTTCTTTAACTATCGAGGGAATAATAAAGATAACCGAGTCATTTCTATGAAACATTCACTGAACCCCACAATGCGGCCCCCGTCTTCTACCTTCCTCCCACTCTCCACCTCCAGTCAAAATATCTGTGTCAGTTTGTGAATCCTTGAGCAAAATCAATATATTAGCCTCTGAATTTTCTAGATGCAGTCTTTATACAGAAAAATAAAGGAAACTTACCAATTATTGTTAAGTAAAAGCCAGCCACTAGATCCGCTTCCCAGGAAAGTTTGGAAGCAAAGGGGTCCCCTTCTTGAAGGTACTGTGGCAGGTGCTCATCCTGGGGCAGGGCAGTGTGGTTTAGCGCCATGCTGTGCTCAAGGGACAGGAGTCTGGAAAGCAAATCAGTAGAGATGGCAACAGACCCGAATAAGCCAACTTGAACCAGCTCATAACCATGCCCCCCTCTTTTAAAATGAAAATGCAAGTTTCCGGGGTCATGCTTGATTCCCTAATTAATAACTGGTGAGTATTTTAACACTCTTCTTCAAAGACCCAAATATGTCAGTATCCAGCTATTCAGTGTGCACATTGAGTATCCAAGCCTACGTTATGTCGTTTCTTTATCATGCTACTCTCTTATGTCATTTTACCCCTCCCTTGGGTGAATAAAATACTGAAGGCCAAACCCCATCCATTTTACTGTTGCTTAGCAAGTTTTATAAAGGGCTAAGCTAAGAGAAGATATTTATAGGGAGTGTACATTACATCTGATGTCTATATAGATCTCTACATCTATACATCTATATGTAAAGGGGGAGAGAGGGAAGGCATTCCATCAATATTTAAAATATATTATAAATATATAAAATGTTTTCTAATTTGCCAGAGTATGATATATTTTTAATTACCCAAATTGCCCAGAAGAGCACCTCTATTGGTTATATGTTCCGTGAGTGTTAGAGGTTTTCCAAAGAAGAAATAGAGTCATTAGTTACTAGAGCATTGAATACAAAGGAACATAGATCTTCACTAAGTGAAATTAAGAACTAGGAGATTTTAAAGGATATATTGAAATTTTTAGAAATGAATTCAATCTTGGCTGTGACTCACAAGGCTCATGCACAGGAAGATTTGGGTTGCAAGTTTCCTAAAACAGAAAGCAATTTCATTATTTCCCACCACCACCCCTTCAAATCCATTTCCTAAATTTGCTCAGCCCTGCTCCAGGATGAAATCTTGAGCAATGAGGATCTCCCAAAACACACAGGCCTTTATAGTGTTTCTATTGAATTTGGATTTTAAAAGCCTTACAGAAGACTTTGATGGGCCCTGTAAAAAAAATATATATATATATGTCACACCCTATCCCCAATACTGAAAGTTGACTGGTGTGTTATTCCCGAGATAAAGCACACTGCTGAGGTCGTAACTTCTCCTGGAATGATTGTTATTGTTTGTTTTGCAAGGGGGAGAAATACTAATCATGGATGTTTCTGCCACTTTTGAACTTGTTATTTCAAATTGAACCAATAGATGTCACTGTTCAGTCCTCTAGGAAGCCATGTGTGACAGAATTTATCAGACTTCAGGTGGAACTTGGAGTCCTATGCCCCATAATTGGTGACAGACTGATCAGCCGACGCCTAAGCATGCTTCAACCTCTCCAAAAGACACGGATTTAACCTCTTCCTAACTTCCAGCTTACAGCTTACATAGGACTTCTCCACCCACCCATGACCCTCCCGGTGCCCAGTGGCTGGGGCTCCTGTCACCTTCCACACACAGTTTGAGGACAGTCACGTGGTTAATGTTTGTTCAAAATCCTTCTTCCTAGGAACTCTAAGAAGTGGAGCTGTCAGAAGGAGAGGCCTCTGGCTGCCAACCTCCCTTCCCCCACCACCACTCCCCATCCCCACCATCTCAAGTCTTGCCCCAAGTCCAAATTTATCTTTAGAACTCCTAATTCCCTTTTGATTGTGCCTCCTTCTGGCGAATTCTCCTCTCACCACAGATTCCCCATTCCCACTGCCTGACCTGTCCTGTTCTCCACTTTAGATTCAAAATCATAAGAGAAGGCTTTAGGTCCTGCTGCGACACCCACCCTCTGATCTGGAGCAGATTATTTGAACTCTCTGGACCCCAGTCATTCCATCTATAAAGTGAGTAATATCATTCTTACTCACCACTCATGCTTCTTGTAGAAATACTAAGACATTGGATGTGAAAGCACATTGCAAATGGGGAGTACTGTTTGCTTATTATGTGCTGGGACACCTGCTTTTCCCAAACTTGCCCATCCATGAGTATACGACTATTGAATGACAAATTTCCTCTGGGGTCCTATGCCAAATAAACGTATGCTTGGGTAACAATTGAAGTAATTATCGAACATCTACTGTTAACCCAGGATAAGGCAAGATAAGAGATATGTATCACAGACTTACCTAGACTTAAGGAGTATAACTCTCATTTTGGACAGAGAAAAAAAGACACAATTAATGATCAGAAAATAATAATACAAGAATATAAAACAATAGAATTCTGACATATTTGGTTTTAAAGCAAGGAAATAATGATGTGATATCTGAGAAGTTAACTAGATGGGGAGTTCTAATGGGCAGTGAGAACCACGGAGGGTGTTTTCAGTGGGGGAATGACATAAGCAAGGGTCTGGAGGCAAAACTGAGCATAAAGCATGTAAAGAACAGAAGCCATCTGCTTCATGGAATAGAGTCCATGATGGTGAGAGGTGAGATCCACCTTGGCTTGGTGAAATGGGATCTTGTTCTGGAGGGCTTAACATGCCTGGCAGAGAAGTTACTTTTGCATTATCATATGTGGGCTGATTCTTTTCTGGATCCACTAATCAGAATTTGTATTATTCAAGTTTGGCAATAAAACATTTGAGGGTAGGTGTTTCCAATTCTTTTCAAAAGTACAACTTAGGTAGTCTCCTGAGACAGAGTGAGACAATTCGGAAGTAGAAAATCCTAAACATATTGGTTACTCCGGGACTCTTCCTCATACACTGCAAGCTCATTTTCAACTCCACACTTCGCACATGGGGTTCCCTCTACATGTAGCATCTGTACCCTTTCTTCCTAGTCTTATTCAAATTCCACTTGACCCTCAGGTCCCTGTCCACAGTCCACATCCTTCGGAAGGTGAATCTGGCTCCTTCAATACCTACTTGAGGAAAGAGCCTCTCTTCTCCTCACTCTTTAAAGTTCCCTGAGAGGTACTTCATCATGCTTAAATTACTTAATTCTTCTTCTTGTTTACCCACCCGTGTGTAAAATAACTCTTAGTCCTAAACGGAAAAGGTGGAGGTACCAATGCATAGAAACAGAACATCACTGGCAATGGGCTTGTTCTCATTACTCTGTGGGGGTGTTGTTTCATCACTCATGTAGGATGAAAGCAGGATGAAGCAATGGGACCATCACAAGAGTTGCCGCAGAACGACACTAACCATTCTACTTAAAATAATGAGTGCAACCCATAGTCATGATTCTACTTGTTCAGAGACCCATCTTAGGGAATTCCTTTTTCAGTATTGAATGGGCCTGAGTTACCTCACTATGTAAATACCATAAGACTGGTTATGTGTTTTCCCAGTTTACCTCCTGTATTGGGAAGACTGCCTATGGCACATGGCTTCCCATCTTCCCACTTGCTCAGAACCCTCACCACCATATCTGCCGGTCCCTGGGAGAACATCCGCAATCAAAACCAACACTTCTCGACCAGCTGCCCATCTGAATCACCTGCACACTTATTTTTGCTTTTTTTGTATGTTAGCTACTGGTTGTGTTCTAGTTGTTCTTTAAACACTGTGGTCTAAGGACAACTTCCAGAGACTATGATAGCTATGGAAAGATCATTTCCAAGAGAGTCCAATAGTATTCAGAGCCTACCAAATTCTGTAGGCATGGAAACTTTCTCTTCTGTCACAGTATCTTATGGTACTAGTGCTCGGAGAGATAGCATACCCAGAGAAATGCTGCTTTAGTAAGCTGCATTAAAGAATCAAGAATTAAAATAACGTATTTGCGACTGGAGATTCTAAAAGTATATGGCACGTAGAGAAAGTTAGCTTTCAGTGGAAATACAGAAGCTTTTGGCTGCTATGGAAATATTGCATAACACTGGAAGAACTTATTTGAAGAGTCTAATATTTCAGGGAAGGTGTGAGAAGGTTGCAAGAGAAGCATCCTGTCTAACGGTGGAGAAAAAATAAATAAATGACCTCTCAAGATTGCCACTGAATTTATGATTCTCTGCAAAGATACAAAGTAACCTCTTGGAGTAAATTATATGTGATCATTCACATTATTCACATCAGCATAAGCCTTTAAGCAGTAAGATATACCCTATTGCCCTCACATTTGCTAATTAATGGTCCTTTTGACCATGAATTATACCGTTAAGGCTGTTCTCATAATAGCTTATTACAGAAAAATCTGAAAACATCCCCACTCCTCATCACTCATAAAAATTTTAAATATTTTGTTACTAAAATTAACCTGAAAAAAATCCTTTATGATTCCACAATAAAAACTGAAAGGTAACTTTCAGAGTTAGAGCCAGACCCAAATCCTCAGGTCTAAACTGGACACACTTACAAAACAGCTATTTAGCAACTATGGAAAAAAGAATGGCAAAGAAGCACCTCTGAAGAGGAAATAAACACAATAAATGAGTATTGAGGAGGTCAGTACAATTCTGTTCACTTTATTCGGTCTTGGAATTATCTTCAAAAAATGTTAGGCACTAAATTTTCCCTTTGATCTGCTAAGTTGTCTCTGGTGGCAGGCAGGAGTTAGCAAAAGGTTTGGGCATGTGAATGGCTACTTAATGCAAAATGTTTGAGCGCGTTCTGCCCAAAATGAGCTTCCCCACCTGCTTTTGGCCTCCTCTGGCCTCTGAGACATTTGTCATTTTTTGCCTTAAGGGATTATCACCCCAAAATATATACACACTAGGTGTATATTATCTGAGAATAAAAGATTTTAGTCTATCAACCCCTATGAAAACTTTAACATGAGGGAGTTTATGAAATTAATTACTTGATACCTAGCAGCAGCCAATGGAGATGAAATTAGGCATGATACAGCTTTTATCAATTATGGCACAGAGGAAGGAGTTGGAAACTGTGTAATCCATGGGTACATTTGAAAGAGCATGAGGATCATGAAATGTCCAAAAAGTTAACAAAGAAGCAACCAGGAGCTAGGGAAAGGATGTCAAAGAAAGATGAGCAACAGGAATTGAAATATTCAAATTTTAGGAGTAAATTTCTTAGTGTTTATCTTACGTTGTTAAAATAAAACGTAAGCAAGGCAACATAGGTTTTTAAAAATTTGA